TCAGAACTGAATGAATTTTATTCCCCATTTAACTATTATTCCCCATGTCTGTGTTCCAAGAACTAATAGACAGTTAAATATGCTAATTTGGCAATCTTTTTTGTTTTGGTTTCACTTTTGTTGACAATGTCAATGTCAAGTTCAAAGTTCTATAGCCGTACCGCTGACATACTAATTGTTAGAATAATTATTTTCATTTACAGCCCGAACGAGTTGTGATTCCATTTATGGTCTACCCACAATGAATCCATGTTAGTTAATAGAATAGAAAATCAGAATATATAGTTGTTCCGATAACCAGGGTTATTTATAATTGATATGCCAAACATTGTTTGGGGAAGTTAAAGTAACGCACGAAGGTGAAAAAGTTGAATGAATTTCCAGAGATTTCATTAACTGAATTTCAATCATGCTGTGGTTACAGTGCATTAAACTCGGGAACAGTGTTAGTGAGTCAAGATCCGTCTGGTTATAATTATAAAATTATTTGACGGCTTCCGCTTGCGTTGGATAAACCACAAATTGATTCTGAAGACTTGATAGAAATAACATGAAATATGTATTGAAAAAACATAGGTTTCTCGGACAATTCTCTAGCGATAACCCGCAGCTTAACCTCATCCGAAATTCGAGAACACAATTACTTGTTGCCAAGTGCCGTGGAATATGTGAATGAACTAAAAAGAAAAGTGGAATAAAAGTCTTCAATTTCCATAATATATGCGAATGTCGTAAGGTGATTTGTCTGTATTTCGCTCGAATAATTTTAATGAGCAATCGACGAGCCTAGGTACAGTCCTACATCAACACAAACTAACTACCTTTAGTAACCTAGTTAGTCAAGTGATTCCAACTAAAAATGGTTTAATTTTAACGTTTTTATTTGCACTTTGGATCAACTTAATCGGCCTGCTTGGCTTTGCGCCTCCGATTAGGGTCTAAAGTTCTCATCTATGACTATATTTTCCTATATACTATAACAAGCACTTGAACTAGAAACTGAAATCTCTTATCAATGGTTTGACATGCCTTCTATTTTGTTCTATTATTAATGCTAGAATATTGCGTAATAGAAAAATATAATAAAAAAACTATTGTGCATATAGAAAATGTTTTTCTTTTTCTTATCAGTAATATTAAATTTATGAATTACAGTACAAAAGTTCCGATTTTTTGTAGTGCAATTTGGCTTTGGTTGTATCTTTATGGCGACTGAATTGCTAACTTGATTTCTTTTTTTAATGGACTGGTTTTTCTTATCTACAGACTGAAATGTATGGCAAAACTGTAAAAATGAAAAATTAATGCGAATGTTTTGACTAACGAAGGAGCAGCAGACGGAAATTATTTGAATATCTGCTGGCTAGCCAATGCATGAATAATTCGCAAAATGAACTGGATAAATTAGTCACATTTTAGATAAACAAAACTGAGTTTCTGTTGTTGTACAAGCTTGTTGTTTTGGCTTTCATTTGCTTAAACAAACTTCTTCCTTATCAGTTTTAAACAGAAGTGGATTTTGTGTATTTATTTTTCTTTAATTGGGTTTTTATTACAGCTTATACTTAATTTCTAGAGAGTTTGATTACCTTTTCATAAATATTATTGTTCAACCTTAAAGGCGGACAATTGCTTTATTGATTTGTTTACCGCTAAATGATTTCATTGATGTCTTAATCACTTTTCTGGAAAGTCAACTTGTTACTCATCCGAATATGGTAATTTCGTAACATAAATTTGCCATTCAACTTCCGCATTAAAGCCTTTTTAAAGTGCACTCAAGCAAAAAACTGTGCATATACGTTTTTGATATATAAGACTTTATATATAGCCTGCTTATTGATACGCTAATTTACGCAAATACGTGAGCATTTGAGGGTTAATAAATAATATTTGTGCCCCCAGCTGGGTACACTTATCCACTTGGAATGCGCCTCTCGCCATGACCCATTATTTCAATTAACTTGTAAACACTTTACTCCACTTATCGAAAACGCCCAGAGACAATGGCAACAACCACATCTACTATATCTATTCTCTATTATAGTGCACTATAGTTCTCTATCATTGAATCAGTCGAAGGCGGCGAGGGTGCCCCAAGCGCCAAAGCGCCAAACAAAAGGCATTTTGAAAATTGTTTGTAAACGGCTCATTAATTTATTTACTGCGAAACAACAATGACAATCGCCGGCAAATATTGCTTTGGTCCGTTGATGTTGGCCCTAAGAAAAGTCAATTCGATTTCGGTTCTGATTGCCTGGCCTATCAGCCTTTTCAATTATCTTAAGAGAGTTCCTTCCCCCAAAATTGAAACGAAAACAATTTCCGCGTGGGAAGTGATATTACTTACTACCATTATTAGTTGATTCCCCTTATTATTTTAGTAAGCTGTCAGAAGGTGTGCTTACACTCTACTATTATATATAATTGTGGTTTATTGGTTTCCTATTAGATCGACAGACGATACCCAATACGGATTCAATCAAGCGTAAGGTATTTTTAGAACTCCTAGGAAAGTATACTTAACAACACTATATCTATTATTTATTATATAATAAATCCCAAGCCTGTTCTTTCCTTAAAGTATCTTTATATTGTCACTCCAGACTTTTCAGAGCGGGCTGAAAAATTCCACTCCTATATTGTGATTATAGTACAAAGATGTAATACTATATAGTATTTGTATACCTAAGAAGGCGCGTGTATATATACATATAGTCAATTTTTGATTGATATTCAGGGCGTCCGCTGACGTAGATGGGCAATTCTCAATCAGATTGTTTGCCCATTGTAGGAGCATCTATATACAGAGGGGTATATATGTACATATAGATGTTCCACTTTATCAATTTCTGCCTCCATCTATCACCGTGTTGACGATCTTTCATCTCAGTCTCGCTATCGGGGGCAGAGCAACAAGTTCTATAGGTGATAGAATTCGTATATAGTATATGTCATAAAAGAGGGCGTGGCACAGAGAGAGAGAGGTTGTTACTCTATTCAGTTTTCTGAGAAACCAACTATGCTCGTGATAGAATTTAAATTAAAAAATACTGTTAATTGCCGTGTGGAAATATTTTTTAATTAACAGCTGAATTCTGACTTGCTCTCAGAGTGTAAGCTCACTAAAAATTTACTTATTATTAGCTTAGTTTATTTGAAGGGAAATAGAAATAGCATTTTGAATACCTTTCAAAAACTATTCTCGAACAATAACAATTGAAAACTACTAATAGATTTTAATGATGGCTGAGATGATATTGATGCCGGGGGCGGGCTGTCTATTTCGATACCTCACTACTAGATCTCGTGCCGCGCAGTGTGAAATTAAATGCCATCGTTCGTCGCCTATAAACAAAAGCAGATCTCCAATTACCTCTGACTGAGGCACATGAACAGTCCGTCAACAGCAAAAGCAGATTAGACAATAATACATAAAAACAAAAACAAAATAACAACAAACAAAATAACAACATCGACGAAAAATAAATAACAAGCCGCGATAAGCGCAGAAAAATGCTTCACAAAAGGCGGCAACTTGTTAAATAAGCTAATTCAGTTTATTTATTTCACATATCTGAGTCGTTAATTTCTATGATAAATATTAAAAAATTTTTGTGAGCTGATTAAATAGATTTTTTTTTATAGTTTTTATAGTCAACAAGTTAGTTATAGTTATGATATAGAAAAAGTTTAGTAAATTAGAAAACTAGAAATGTAAACAAAAATATAAAAAATTGATTCTTCTTCTAACAAATCCAACAAATGTTTCTGACAATTTTTTTAGACTTTTTGACAAGGTTAATTTTATTAATGAATGTGTAAAAATGTTTGATCACTTCTATATATCAATACTTCTTCACTTCAAAGTCTGATAGGGAATTATGTTAAAAACATTTAAACCTAAAGAAAGGTCCGACTGGTCATTATTTATGTGATATATCTATGACACGTGAGCCACCATATCTTACTGGCAATAAAATATAATTCCTGACGACATTTCACTTTGTGAGTTGTCAGTCAATGGCCTCTTTAGAGGTTGCATGCGGCACGCCACAGATCCATTTTTTAACCACACACACCATCTCTATCTGTCCCTGATGGCTTGCCCCAGGAAAGTTTACAACATTTTATGCTCATATCATTGACATTGACATTGCTGTTGTGGGTCTCTTCTATATATCTGTGTCTATAATTAGTGGGTGCCTTCTTAGAGATATATCTACAAAATAAACTACAAAAACATAGAGTCGACCGTCGACTCGTCAAAGGGTAAAATAGGGTAAGGCGGGGCCAGTCTGTTATTATATTTGTCTGGAGCTTAATGGCTTGATTGATTGTTCGTTGTAGGCCGATAAGAGGCTTCACAGGAATCAATGATTAGGACGTGCCTCCTAAACCCAGAACGTGAGGGCTAGCCTACTCACATGTGTTTTATTTTTGGTTCGGGTAACTTTTGCATAGATTACCTAACCAAAGCAGGAGAGCTGGTAGCTAGTTTGCTAATGACGCGAATTGGAATACAGGCCAATACAGGCGTCATGAATATGCGCCTACAGAGAGTGTCCACCGAGTATATAGTATAGTAAATAACACCAGCAGCACCAGACGTTGACAAATTTTTGTGGCACGACTTAGGCATATTCGTTCCGTTCCATTCTATTTCATTTCTTTTTTGCAAAAAAAGAAATTATATCACGCGCCTGATTTCCATACGCTTCTTTATTTATTTATTTTGGTTTTGGGTACGATGGTGTGTGCTCGTTTCAAATGATTTTCAATTGGTTACGTTCGGACTGGCATATATATATTGATGGATGGCATTTTAATGAAGCGTGAAACGATGACAATCGCTTGTTGGGTTCGGTTCGGGGTTCACTTTACTTTGGGTACGACGGACGACATGGCAACAAGTGGTTCGACTTCATAGAAGGGGGCTCGTTCTTCATTTCTCGAGAACCTTTAATTGATTTCATCTTTTCTGCTCTATTTGTTTATAGATCTACACGCCTCCGCCACTGGACGTCAAAATGGAAATGTAAGTATTATGAAATGTGATAGATGATTGATAGCAGGCATTATGATTTTATTTGGAATTAAAAATAAAAATTGAATTCGAAATGGTTTAATGTCTTAAATGAAATTATTCAATGATGAAAGGTTTTTTAATTGATCTTTTTCTTTGATCTTAATTTTATACAATTTAATTAAATTTGTAATTTTTAATTGAATTACCAAGTCAATCAAAATCACAAGCAATACAGATTGATCCTAGTTAGTTAAATAAAGTAATTTTTATTAATTTTGCCATATTTCTTATATCAACAGTGAAATCGGTGAACAACCCCAACCACCTGTGAAGTGCTCAAACTTCTTCTCGAACCATTGGAAGGGATTGGTGGTCTTCCTGGTCCCTCTGCTATGTCTGCCTGTAATGCTCCTGAACGAAGGCTCCGTAAGTTTAAACTGTACACAAATTCATACTTAAACTTAAACAATTTTTTGATTACTTTCCAGGAATTCCGTTGCATGTACCTGCTTATGGTAATGGCCGTGTTTTGGGTGACAGAAGTCTTGCCTCTCTATGTCACCTCTATGATTCCCATTGTGGCTTTCCCAATAATGGGTATAATGGTAAGTCTTTATCAGACAGAAACATTTTATATATTCTTAACTGATTCCATCTTTTATACCTTTTTAGAGCTCCGAAGAGACTTGTAAATTGTATTTCAAAGATACGCTTGTGATGTTCATGGGCGGCATCATGGTGGCCCTTGCTGTGGAATACTCCAATCTGCACAAGCGTCTAGCCTTGAGGGTAATCCAAATCGTGGGCTGCAGTCCCCGAAGGTATAGATACTGCACATATAAGGGGATTTTTAAGATACATATCCGGTTTTCTGCTCCCTTTTAGATTACACTTCGGCCTCATTATGGTTACCATGTTCTTGAGTATGTGGATCTCGAATGCCGCCTGCACTGCGATGATGTGTCCCATTATACAGGCTGTGCTGGAGGAGCTTCAGGCTCAGGGAGTCTGCAAGATCAACCACGAACCTCAATACCAGATCGTTGGAGGCAACAAGAAGAACAACGAGGATGAGTAAGTAACTTTTTTTAAGAGGAATATTTGAAAGTTCATTCCCATAAGAAGATTATTCAGCAACATTGTTGTTTAAAATTAATTGCGTTCTCATTTATCGTTTCGTTTTCATTATTGTTTTACATTTGTTGTTTTATATTACTAAATATTGTTTCATTTTTCTTTTTAGGCCACCATACCCCACCAAAATCACGCTTTGCTACTATCTGGGCATTGCCTATGCCTCCTCGTTGGGCGGCTGCGGAACCCTCATCGGAACTGCCACCAATCTCACCTTCAAGGGTCTCTACGATACACGTTTCGCGAACTCCACCGAAAAGTTGGACTTTCCCACTTTCATGTTCTACTCGGTGCCTTCTATGCTGGTGTACACCCTGCTGACATTCGTGTTCCTGCAGTGGCACTTCATGGGCCTATGGCGTCCCAAGAGCAAGGAGGCCCAGGAAGTCCAGAGGGGCAATGAGGGCGCCGATGTTGCCAAAAAGGTTATCGATCAGCGCTATAAGGATTTGGGCCCTATGACCATCCACGAAATTCAAGTGATGATTCTGTTCATCTTCATGGTTTTCATGTACTTCACTCGCAAGCCAGGCATCTTTACCGGCTGGGCTGATCTGCTGCCCTCACAGTGAGTAGATATTTATGTCACCTTTTCTTTACATTTTTCTTATAAAAACTTTTTACATGCATCTTTTCCAGGGATATTCGTAACTCTATGCCTACCATATTCGTCGTGATCATGTGCTTCGTCCTGCCTGCCAACTACGCCTTCCTGCGTTACTGCACAAGAAGCGGTGGCCCAGTGCCCACAGGCCCTACTCCCTCTCTAGTCACCTGGAAGTTCATCCAGACCAAGGTTCCATGGGGTCTGGTGTTTCTGTTGGGCGGTGGTTTTGCATTGGCCGCAGGCAGTATTAAGAGTGGAATGGCCAAAATGATTGGCAACGCCTTGATTGGACTAAAGGTCCTGCCCAACGCTGTGCTCCTGTTGGTGGTTATCCTGGTGGCCGTGATTCTGACGGCATTCAGCTCCAATGTGGCTATAGCCAACATTATTATTCCAGTGCTGGCCGAGATGGTTAGTTTTCAAATAGTAAATCAATTAAGAATTAAAATATAAACTAAATGCTTTCCCTTTTAGTCCCTGGCCATTGAGATTCATCCACTGTACCTGATTCTGCCTGCTGGTCTGGCCTGCAGTTTGGCCTTCCATCTGCCGGTCAGTACTCCGCCCAATGCTTTAGTAGCAGGTTACGCCAATATTAGGACAAAGGACATGGCCATCGCTGGAATTGGCCCGACCATAATTACCGTCGTTACCCTGTTCGTTTTCTGCCAAACCTGGGGACTGGTCGTCTATCCAAACCTCAATTCTTTCCCCGAGTGGGCACAAGTCTACGCCGCTGATGCCTTGGAACACAAGTCGCATTAAATAGTTAGTACATAGTGTAATGTAAAACACAGACCGTCGCAGCGATGGGAGAATCAAGAAATTTTAGGGAATTGTAAAAGAAAGTGCCTTCGTTGACAGCGAAAATTGTGAAACAATATTTAACTATACTTGCATTTCTGAATTTCGAAATGTTTTGATACGAAAACATTAACTATTGTTTAGCAAAACGTGTTGAAAAGATATGTCATACTAAATTGTTAATCAGGACTTGAGCTCCTGGTTAACGAACTCAGCTAAATAATTAAATTCAAATTAATGTTACTTAACTGTTGCATTTAGCAAAAAGATTTCAAAAATTTGGGAAATTTTGTTCTAGGGCAGCACTGGCTTGCCAATATTTTTATTAACTAGACTGAGATAACGTACATATTCATGCTTTGCAATGTGTAAAAAAAATAATATGAACAACTTACTCAATACTTGATTGCAAACCGAAATGAGCACACAAATAGCCTTAGTATAAGCTTAAATGATACTGTGTAAATTTGCAAATGATTTATGTTTTATATAGTTTGTAATAAATATCAAATAAATAAAAAGCTCAAACAATAATAATTTTTCAAGTTAATTATTCAACAATAGTTTAGTTCACTGAAATTTAAAAAGCGATTGCCGATGTGCTTTTTGAATATCGATACCTGCATAGAATTTTTAAATAGGCGACTTCGACAGTTTTACAGCCTTTGCTAAAACATAGGAATATATGAAAACCTGTTGCTGAACTAACAACAAGCTACTCCATTTGTATGCATTTTTTACTAGTGTTATCTGGTAGCTTTTTGCGTGGGTTTCTTCTTCAAGCTGTGTATGTAAAAAAAAGTTGGCCCTCACAACTTATACGCTTGAATAGTATAGAAAATTTATCATTACACAAATCATTTTCGAAACGAAATAAGCAAGCAACTACGAATTGTCCACAATTCCAGTTAAACAGTTTTTTTTATATATACAATTTAAAGTTTTGAAATTCAAAGAACCCGCCTATATACTTCCTAACAATCGATAGCCTGATAAAATCGATAGGTTCCGTGCTAGAGACGGAATATAGTGAAATTACATACATATACAGTTTTATTTCCACTGGTAAAGTCTACAAGCAACGGAAACCCTCTTGCTAAAATTAAAGAGTTTAAAATTTAAAATTTTTCATTTAAATCGACTTTGGTAAATCATATAAAGTTCGAATAATATTATTTCATTGAATTTGAGAACGCGTTCAAAATGAATGGTGTATAAAATGTAAATTGAATCGAAAATTTGTATAGATTTTACATTATATTATTTAAATTGACTTAAATAAAAAAAAAAGAAGATCCCCAAAAGCGATAAATTTATAAAAACAAAAAACGATTAAAATCATAGAAGAGAAATTTTATCAAAATATTTAGAATTTATTGCATATAATTGTATTTTGTGTATAGCTAAGACAATTTTGAATATCAAAACAAGACAAGACACATTATGTGGTTAAATCAATTTTAGCCCGCAACCAATGATCCGAAAAGCGTTTGCTTTTGTTAGTCAATTTCGGAGTGGGTAGTGTTGGTTGAGTTCCAGTGGATTAATCGTAATTAAGGCCAATAACCAAGTCGGATTCGAGGAAATGCTCTCCGCTTAGAACTTCGAGGACTTGGCCAGGTTAAGGGCTTCGGTCAACATGCGACCGAAATCGGCGTGCACCAGGGTGAAGTTCTTGACGGCACGCTCCTGCAGGAACTGGCTGGCGTTGCTCAAGTGACCAGCAATGTTCTGTACCAGGCGCTTCTTGCCGCAGTTGTCCAGGACGTGCACCCAGAAATCGGTGACCTGGCCAAAGTTATCCTCAGTGTCTCCGCTGCTGTACCGGTAGACATCTCCAGTCACTGGGCAGCAGGAGGACAAAGCCCTGGCCCTGGGGCATTCCTGGGGACCGTTGAAGGAGTTAGGGAAATAGTTGGGGGCACCATCCTGGTTGTCCGTAACATTCATGGGTCCATCCCGCTGGAAGTTCTCCACCTTCACCTTGTAGGGACAGTTCACCGGGATCTGTAAGTAGTTTGGTCCCAGACGGTGGCGGTGGGTGTCCGAGTAGGAGAACAGACGTCCCTGGAGCATCTTATCGGGAGAGGGCTCAATGCCGGGAACCATGTGAGCGGGGCTGAAGGCGATCTGCTCCACCTGAAGTTGAAAGAAATATCCAAAAGTTAGTTAGGCATTTAAAAAAAAAAAAACTAATACTATCTTGCTTAAGTTAGCAAAATACTAAAATTATAAAAAACTATACGTAATAATAATCTATTTAGTTTACTTTTGTTTGCATTTTTTAAAAGCTTAATGGAAATTTCTCGTTAACACGAACATATTGTTGCTAAACAATACAAATTTTTCAACAATGTAAATTATTAGCAAATATTTGCAAACTGACAACAAGAAAATTACACTAAATAATTAGAACTTTTTATAACGTCATTGTTAAGTAAAATAATTAATTGAATCAACCAAACTAACCTCAGCAAAGTAGTTCTTGGGATTGCGATCCAGCACCATTTTGCCCACCGGAATCAAAGGATACTCCTTCTGCGACCAGACCTTGGTAACATCGAAGGGATTGTACTTGAACTTCTTGGCTTCTTCGAAGGTCATGACCTGGATATACATCGTCCAGCTGGGGAACTTGCAGGTCTTGATCCTGTTGTACAGATCGCGGATGCTGTAATCCGGATCGCTGCTGGCCAACTGATCGGCGGTCTTCACATCCAAATTCTTGATGCCTTGGTCCGTCTTGAAGTGGAACTTGGCGTAGATCGGTTCACCCTTGGCATTGATCAGTTTGAAGGTGTGAGAGCCGTAGCCGTTCATGTGGCAGTAGCCATCAGGGGTACCACGATCGCCGAACAGGAAGCACACCTGGTGAGCGGACTCTGGACGCAGGGTAAGGAAGTCCCAGAACATGTCGGGATCCTTGAGATGGGTCTGCGGGTTGCGCTTCTGTGTGTGAATGAAGCTGGGGAACAGGATCGGGTCACGAATAAAGAAGATTGGTGTGTTGTTGCCAACCAAATCCCAGACACCATCCTCAGTGTAGAACTTAATGGCGAATCCTCGAGGATCACGGGCCGTATCAGCAGATCCGCTCTCACCACCCACGGTGGAGAATCGCACGGCAAGTGGAGTGCGCTTCTTAACCTTATCGAACAGCTTGGCTCCACAATATTGAGAGATGTCGTGGGTCACCTCGAAGTATCCAAAAGCACCGGCTCCCTTGGCGTGCACCACACGCTCTGGGATGCGCTCCCTGTCAAAGTGGGACATCTCATCCAGGAAGTTGACATCCTGCAGCAGGACGGGACCTCGGGGACCAACCGTCTGGGTGGCATCCTTGATGCCAATGGGGGCTCCATGACCAGTGGTAATGGCTCCCGGCGAAATCTGTAAGTAAAAGGGAAAATATTCATTAAGTTGCCTTTAAAATGTGGTAACTCTGGTTGCAAAGTGCACTTCCCCAACTTTTTCTTATATAATACCAGTTTAAAGTGCCGTCTAATCTAATCGTTGCTTTAGCGATAATACTTTTTGGGGTGCGGACTTTAAATTTTTATTTATAATCGCTGGGCCGCCGAGAAAAACATAAACATAAAGATTGCACAGCTTTATCTCTCCAGGGGGTCACTTTTGGAGCCATTTTTGCAAATCCTTATAAATTTGCTTAGAATTTATTATAATCCGATAAGAGAACACAGGTGTTTCTGAGTGCTTAGTGCATTTAAGTTATGACGAAGCATACTTAGTATATTTAAACCACTTAAATAACTTTTAAATATGTTAAATGATATCTAACAAACGAAAAAAATAAATTAACATTTTCCATTAAGCTAATAAAACTGTCCTGTTTTAGCTGAAATATCAATTAGCCCACTAACTGCCCGTCATCAATCACCAGATCTAATCTGTTTAAGCCATCTTCATCCTCCTTGTACTCAATATATTTCCCTGGAGTAACCAGACACCGCTCCTTAATCACCTTATCGTTTATTCCGCATGCAGGCCAACAACTCATTATAAAATTAACTCAGCCAACCAACAATTTGCAAAACTGTCTCCGGTTAATGCGCACTGTTTAGCTAATGTATTTGAAACCTGACAGCGGCATGCGAAATTCTAATTTGAAAGCATTTCTAGAACAGTGCATATAGAATTTTATATGGAAGGCTGTTTATCAAAGTGAAGCCTCTGCTGATGTGTCAAACATTTAAATTAAGCTGCTGTTTACATTTCACAACAAAGTTTAGATATTACTTTGGTATGGGTTACATAAGGGTGGTCAACTCATTATAATGTTTTTAATTGTTTTAGAAATTGGTGGGCTGTCTTCATTATCATATCTTAAAAGACGTAAAAATGCTATAATAATGAAATTTACTAGATATTGCTAGATTATATTATAAACTGAACGAAAATAATGAACAAGCTAAAACCTATATAAAGATATTCATATTTCTTAATTATAATTTACGAGTTTGTATTCCAGTCACCTTCTAGAGCTGCATAATTAGCTCACCTGTTTGTGGGCTCTCCTTATATATTCTTAATTTCTGGACACTTCTAAATATTTATACTTATATATATATATATATACCTAAAGCTTTCTGCACTTGTTTGCTCTTTTTTGTACCGATTCAATCAGAATGGTTTGCACTTTGAGACAACAATATGGGGCCACTTCAGGGGGCAGAGATACGAAAAGTAAAGCAAACCGGGAATGGCAATGAGAGTGGAACCGCGATCCACGCCCCAACAAGTCAATCTGGTTCCTATCAGAGCCTCCCTGCGTTTGTGGTTGTAGTAGATATCTCCCAGCGAAGAGCAAACTGATAAGGGAACCCCGCCCGATCTTAAACAAGAATGCAAAATACACAGAAGTCCACAGGAAAGTTTTTAATTGCAATCTTGTCGGAGATGCCTTTGACACAGATCAGTTAAACAGCACCTTAATGAGGTGGCATTATAGAGATCAGTGCATCTGATAAATAGTTGTAAAGATGACATGGTCTTATAGATATCATTTATCACAGGGAGTTGAGTCATTTGAAGGGTATAGCAAATAGGAAATGCGGGAGCTAAAAGCTGCAGCTAAAGATTTATAATTCTAGTTACGAAATGATGATTTCATTCTTAAGATAGAATATTTTTGAGACTTTAGTAATCCATTTTATGGTTTTATATACACTCAAGGTTTAAATCTGAAATAGTTTTGTTTATAGTTTAAACACTACTTCTTGTAAAACTTCCTCTTCATTGCCCAACCTATAACCTTCCGCAATGCATTAAGTTTCAACATTCAAAATGTTTTCCATGCATTTTTGAATTTCTTGGATATTAAAAATGAACTTGATTGCAAGATTCTGAAAGAACAAAGAACCTAGTTGCCATGATTATGAACCGAAACAAAGGCAAACATTTAATTGCCTGACAGAATGCAGTTTTCACAGTTTCGTCATAGAAGGTCAAAAGCGAGTAAAACAACACGAACCAACCAACTGTGGAGCTCTCTCTGCTTTTCTGGGTCAGTTCGAAACATATTCTCACATACAGTCGACGGTAGTGACCGGGCGTTCCAGCTTAATTGCATAACCAAATTGGAGAAAGAAAATTTAGTTTGACTTATAAGGCTGACTGGGAAATGCATTTTCCCACTTCAGTCTAGCCTTTCCGCACTCAGCCCAAAACGGGTTTGAAGCCCGGTTCGTTATTACACGATCGTCGAAGCCCATTGCAACCAGTTTGTGCAACATTGAGCCGGTCGACGCAAAGTCCATTGACTCCCAGCCAATTTTCCAACCTCAAAGCGTAGCAAACAACTATTCGCGGTCCTCAGAAAGTTCATATACATATTTAATAATAATTGTTTGTTTTATTCGATATTGCAGTAATTGGTTTCGTGACTCAATGCACAAGTGCAAAATTAATAATATCAGAGGTGTGCGGGGTATTTATATATAGTATTCTTACTTTAGGTAATATACTGTATATTTCTATTGCTCAGAATATCATATTTTCGATTATTTACATTTTCAAAATTTGTATGTTAATAGAGTGTGCTATTTTTGGAAAATAAAAAAATTCAAGATATAAGAACAAATACTAATTCATTACAATTCATATTAATTGGAAAACTAATATTCTGCTTTTTTAAGATGGTTTTATATTTAGAAAGCATAAAAATACATAATTATACAGGTTGACATTAATGGTTATTTAAGGTAAAAAGCTTTAAAATATATGTATTAATATTAAAATAATTAATCCATCACAGTTTGATAAATTAATTTCACTTTTGCTACTATGCCAACACGTCTGATCTAATCTATTTGGGCCAATTACTCAGCTATTTCGGATGCTTATCAACTGATAAATAACTATGCAGAATATTTCATATTATCGATTTATGGGGGCAAATGGAAAAGGGAAAAACATTGAGAAATTGCCGAGTAATAAATTCTGTAAATAGAAATAATTTGAAAGGTTGAGAGGTGTGTCAAAGTTAATGTTGGCTATTGATTTTTTTCATGATTTCCCTTTAATTGAAGTTTTAATATTTTAAATACAATTTAAAAGTTCTGAAATTCAAAGTTATTGTATGTACCAAAAAGATATAAATATCAATTCTTTAAAATTCCTGTAATATTGTAAACGTACATTTTTATAGGTTGTTCAAAACTTTTTAAACTATTTTGAGTACAAAGTACACTTTTCTACTCATATACAAAAAAATAATATTTGTTAAACATTTTCAAAGAGCACGATTTTTCAATTGAATTGATCTTTGTGTGTTCAGCCAAAAGCGAAAGCGAATAATTAACACAAAAGTGCAAACGAACCAATTCGAATACCTAAAATCTAATGCACAATTCAAGTGCCAAATGAAAATGGAAGTGCAAAGTGAAAACAAAGGCGGAAAATGAAAATAAACAGAAAGGCAAAGGTTAGGTGGGCTATGAAAATAGGGATATTCGATTAAACTTTGGATTTTGCTTAAGGGAAAACTAAAACTTTGGATTCGGTTCAGAAAATACAAATCCAATAAGAAATCGCCACAGTGATAAGGTTTATCAGTTTAGTTCTGATAAGATTCGTACAAATAAATAGAAGAGAGCCTTAAAGCGAGAGGGATATAGCGACCGCTGTTGAACTTTGAACTGTGGTGAAACCGCTTTCAAAATTATTGGCATCTTACGGCTACAGCCTTTGTTGCTTTTTGCATTTTTAATTGTTAATGAAAAGTACAGACTCATAGCATTCGTTGCTGTAATTGTCTTGTTTTTTGTTTATTTTATTTTGAACAATGTTTCGTCTCCCTTCTCTTTTATTTTCTTCCCTGCCGGTACACACAGACACACACACGCACGCACCACCTCTCACTCTCTCGCGACCGTACACCAACACACTCACCGTTTGGGAGTTTTTGTAGTCAATCAACTGATTTGATGCCGCATCGCGTGAAGCCATTTTGCTTGAAATTTAGGATATTTGCTCAATGGGATATAACCAGAATTTTGATATGTTCGAACTGAACAAACGTTGATTTTTAGCCGCCTTTGGGTTTGCTGTGACTACGTCGAGAATTCTGTCAACTAAATCGACTGCAGCGCAGTTCCATTTGTTTTTATAGCTACCGCACCACGTACTTGTTGTTGTTCAGGGTTGTCGAGTGCGCCAAACATATCGATATTAAGGCTTTGTCAATTAATATCGTTGAATCCGTTATTTTGAAATAGAATAGTTAACTAAATATAATATATAAATTAAAAATGATTTATATTTTAAGATTTTATTCTACAAATCCGCTGAACAAAAAATATTCTATTGTTGGCAAATTTACATTTTTTTAACGAGCTGAAAGTATCTTTAATTTCCATGTTTATTAATCATACACAAATTATTATATTAGTAATGACATAAAGAACATATAAGATACAATCCATCATTTCACGTCTTACTACTAGTCAAGGCTTATTACAAACTAGAATGAGGGTCCGCGGCAAGAGCACAATATCCATGGACCCCTATTAAGATCCACAAGGAGTACAAAAAATACATAGCCTACAATTAACGTTTAACAATTAGTGATATAAGTTGATTAACCACCAGTGGTTCCTGCCAAGTAAATGTCCATTGCCTCCTTGTTAAGATGCGTAACCGGGCGCCTCTTCGGGATGGGTTGGATGTGTGGCAACCGTGTGCCATTCACGGCGTTCAGACTAAGATTGGAGTTGGGATCGTAGTCGTCAGTATCAGGATTAATCAAGGCAGGTCGTGGTCTTTGAGGACGCGGTCCCGCCTCATCGTCTCTCTCCGAACGTTGTCTCTTCTTAGCTGCCGCAGCACTGGTAGTTGGTCTGTCATCCGAAGATTGACTAAAGTTGTGTTGGATTCCACTAGGTTGCCGAATTTGCTGTATTGACACAATATTAACAGTTGGTCTGACACTCGAACAGTTTCTCGAGCTAGTTTGGCTTCCACCAGGCTCCTCATCTTCCTGAACATCTTCATTATTTGCAGTTGGTCTGACAGTTGTTGAGCTACTCGAGGTGTGAAGAATCCCACTAACTTCTTGACTTCCCTGGCCAGTTTTATCACTTACTGTGGTTGTGACAGACCACTCGGAACTTTCACTCAGGGGAGGCAAGACCCTTGCCGGCCTTGGCATTAGGGCGTTAGGATCCGATGAGGAATCAGCTGGCTGACTACAGCTCGCATCCGAAACGCTGTTGCCCTCTTTTAAGAGTTTGTGTTTTTTGGCATTTTCGTTCTTCTCCTTGTAGAGTCGCAACAGACTGGTTAAGCACTTGCCGCAGATGAGTTGTCCTATCCGGATTTCGCTATTTATTATATTGGCGAAACGCACCAAATACTCATTCTTCAGTTCCCGAATAGGCGGCCTTAGCCTGTGATTCCCCAGGGCGCAGAATCGCCGCTCCTTTTGCGGTTGCTGGACGTCAGGCACCATCTGCAAGTAACACGCATATATTTATTACTCATTGACAATAAATATACTAAATACCTTTCTGTTTTGGTTCAATATATTCGATGAACGCCAGAAAATGCAATTGTCCCGCCGAAAACATAACAATGAGTGTGACCGTCAATAGATAGTTAAAATATACCAAATATACAAGCTGTTACAATTTAAAAACGAAATTGTAAAAACCTCCAAGAATAGTTTTAATTTTCAATTACAATTTTTAATTTTATTTTAATTTAAAATGTATACATTTGTTTAATTTAAGGAATACCTATGTTCATATGGACAATGAACGCGAACGATGATCTTAACAAACAAAAGGCAATTCTGCATTATAAAAGCATAAAATATATAAATATATATATGTAATTATATAAATTTAATTTGGAAAATCTTATAAAATAAACAATTTAAATATGTTTCCTTAATTTCTTTAAATTTTATCATTTAATTGCCTGTAAATTAATCCAAAAAATAATAAATAGTGATATCAGTTCATATCGATCTATCATGTAGTCAAATTATTTATTCTCAGTTTTGTTTTGTTTGTTTGTTTTCTTGTTGCGTCAGAATACAGATAAAAAGATTTTAAATTAATTTAAAGTAAATACTGAAAATATGCAGCCATTTTGAAACCTTCATTAATATATACCGAAAAGTGTTGAAAATACCAAAAACTGCAAAATCAGCTGCTCGCGTTACAGCACTTTGCGAGCTGTTAAGCGCAAAATGTTAGCCCCATTAAACCCAGGTTATTTTTTGTCATTCATTGTTCATACGTTCGTCTCGTCTGATTTTCTTTTTATAAAAATACAATTAAAATTTCAAACATATACACATAATGTTTATAAATATAATGTAGTGCAACACATATATGTATAATATAGCTAAATACCAAGTGCAATCCCCCGAAAGATAACTTTAAATGGCAATCTAATTTACGTAAAAAAGAAAAGAGACAAAAAAAAAGAAACGGCGCGTGTGAAATTTTTTCAAGCAAAGGAGAGAAGTTGGAGCAACAAAAAAAGAAGAGAGAAAAATACAGCAACAACACACAATGTAGGCCAACAACAAGAGCAAGAAAAAAGCAAGCAAGCGGCAACAACAACAAAAAAGCGAGCGAAAGAAGCAAAAACCTTGTAATTGTGTCAATAAATGTTTTAAATTATATTTCCTTTGGGAAAAGGCGAATGTCTGTGTGTGTCTCGTAGTGTGTGTGAGTGCGAGACAAGTGAAATTTTCTTTGTTTCCCTGCGGGGGAGGAAAAAAGAGTCAAGAAATGAAGTTGCCTTGAAACAACAAAAAAAAAACGCTGCCCCAAAAAAAAGTATATATGTATGAGTGAGTGTCTGACTCGTTGTCTGCTTGTGTTTGTTTGTACGCCTCTGTGTGTGCAAGTGTATGTGTGTGTGGCAATGAACGTTGGGCAACAACACAATAATTTTATTTATTTGGAATTTTTGCTGCGCTGTTTGCTTGCTTTTATCTTTATAAATACCTACCGAAAGTAAATGAATTTTAAAATAAAAGTCTCAAGTGGTTTTTTAGCAATGAAAATGTTTAGCCGAAAAACGAAAAGCAACAAAAACAGCGGCTTTAAGGCTGCTGGACAGGTTTCCCACGGCTAAAACAAAAAATATGTAAAAATAAGGAGCAACGCGACGACGACGGCGACGAAGAAGAAGCAGCAGCAATGCGTGAAACGCGAAAGCAAAGTGAAATTCAAGACAACAACAATAACAACAAACACAAAAGCGTAGCGGCTAACAAAAACCGTTATTCAACAATTTCTTGAATAAAACAACAACAAAAGCATACAAGTGAAAGAAGGCACAAAATACTGGTTTACACAATCTACAAAAAAAGATAAAGCGAAAGAAAGAAAGCAAAGAGAGAAAAAGTTGCTGCACGAGAAATTTTGTACGTGTATCGTCTCCCCATTTCTATCTCTGCATGTGCGTGTGTGTGTGTGCTTGTGAAGTAAAGTGAAAAGCAATGCTGCAAGGAATTACAACAACAGCTAGTTTACAATAAGTATCTACAGTAAACGGGATTAAGGGCCACAACAAAATAGGAGAAGCATAAACGAATTATTGAAAAAAAACATCTCAAGGTGAGCAAAAAACAACACATATTTTAATAAGTTTTTAAAAAAGGTGCGTGCTTTAATTATGCTGTTGCTATGTCTTGTTGTTTGTAAGTTGTGGCATAACCAAAAAAGTAATAAAAGCGTTAAATGAGAGCAGACGATAGGGAGAGAGCATCATGCTGTTTCACATTTTTGGGGAGCATGCGAAATGTCTACAGGTGGCTTATTTACAGTTACTTTCTTGATAACAGCTGCTGTGTCTTGTCTTTTTTTGTTCTTCATTCGTCTTCCACAAAGCTCTTCTTTAAAGCTTCTCACGCTCTTGAAAGAATTTCGGCGTTTTTATGTCTAATCGGTCTATGTCTAATTAACGGTAAAAGCTAAAGCTTATTTAAAACGATTGTGTGAAATTCTGAAATATCTTCAATTTTCATTCATTAAGAGATGAATAATAGATTATAAACTGATTATAACAATTACTATTTATGTATTTTGACGTTTGGATTTGTTAGAAATTCATTCTACAGACGAATGATGACCAAACTACTTCTTTTTTAAAGGATAACGTGGAAAAAATAAACGACTTTATAATTATAACAACTAACTGTTTCCAATGAGTTTTACGTTTATTAAAATACAAACATTAAATCATAAAAGTTATAGGCTTTTAACGAAATGGAAAAACAAATATTTAGGTCTTTGTAGAATTTATTGAGAGAATTAATTTACCATTAGATATTAGAAGAATTTTATGATTGTTGATTTGCACATAAAATAGATTAATCCTCTTAGGACACTAAATTATTGAGGTTGAGATAGAGAATATTTAAAAAATAAACGAATTTATCAATGTTAAATGTTAAAATTTTTTAGTGTTATCTCTTTTACTAATATTAGACCTCATATTTCTAAATAATTAAATGCGTTCACAGTTTCATAAATAAAAGGTAATTGGCTTCTTGAATTATTTGCATGACTAACTGCTTGTCATGGATAACACGATATACGGTTTATCATTGGGATGTTTAATGACCTTAACATTCTAGTGAATTATATTTTTAGCAACTCAGATGCATCGTGCATTCGCAATGCCTCTGCTTGCATAGCTCTATCAAATAGTTGGAATAGCCCCAGTTCTCTGGATTTGCTGACCGCTTCAAGTCACGTTTCTCTGTTCAAGTTTGTTATCAGCTTGTAAACCGATACTAGGGCGCATATGTGAATGCGTTTTATTTACTTCTCACTTGGAAATAGTCCAACCGATTCATTAATTACCCAAAGCAAATAGAACATAATGTTGAAAGCTGGGGAAGCTTAAAAAAACATGAACACACAAGTTCTCCGTCGAATTACTTTAAGTTAAACTACCATACAATTCATGAATTTTGTTGTAATTAAACACATTTTGAATATTTTTAGCTTTGCCTAAGTTCTGTGCTCCTAATTTGCTTATAACATATAAAGACATATCATTTACTTTAACTTATTTACTCATTTAAAGTATTTGAAAGGTCGATTTGTGGTATTAAATCATTTTATTATATATATGTATGAAGTTAAATTATATTCATTTATATTTGTTTTTTTTTTCCACTCTTTAGATTGTACCTTCGAAGATAACTTTAAATTTCAATAAACATCTGTTTACTACTAATAATAAATATTTTAATATTAGCGCAAAGACCCTTATCTCGCATTTCGTTGGTATTTTGAGGGACATCCGTTTTTATCATGTTAAAATGTTATGTTTTTGTGTTTCCTCATTTTTTAGGGCTAATCTGCGATACGAAATAGGTCGAAAGCGTTTACCGAAACTGATAACAAACCAAAAACAATAAAAATGTTTGGCCGAGCATTATTCGATTTGTTGATAAATGGTTTCAAATCGAAATTGAAAACCGAGAAGTGAGCGATTTGAAACTGTTTGCTCTGTACAGCTGTGCGCGATTCGTTGAGGTTGATAATTAGTTGTAGTCAATCTGACCCGCCCCCTTATTCCCGACCCCTCCTGAAAACCCCCCTACTTTACCTATCTACGCCTATTGTACGCTTAAACGGTTTCTGTTTTATGTGCTGTTCTTTTTTTCCCTCGTTGCTGCTTTTTGCTAAAAGCAAAAAGCGTTTAACCGGTTTGTTTCGAAACAAACAGAGAAAACCGAAAACAGAACAAGCCAAGATTATAGTGAATGTGTGTATGTGTGGTGTATGTGTAAGTTGGCTCTGATGAATAACGTTAACTTTGAAGAAATATCTGTTGGATTTTTTGTATCTGGCGTGGAAGTTCAGCGGATCGGATGGGAATGGAATAGTTATGAGCGGATGACATTTGCAAGTTTTGACACTTTTTTGTATTGGGTAAAAAGATATAGAAAGTGTTGTTAGAAATTGATGTTCTAGTTGTTATTAGTTAAAAGTATTTATTATTAGTAAACTGTTTGTATTTCTTACCATTTTAAAAGAAAAATCAATCTAAATATTTTATATTGTGAAAAATAATTTAAAATAACAATGTAAGGTTAAAAAACAGCTGTTTGTTACTCATTTAAATGTACTTCCTAAATACTTGACAAAAGAAAACAAAAATAAACTATCTCGGCACTTTCGACCTTATCTATCAGATAACCTATCAAGTAATTTCATTATTGCATGAAATTAAAAACTTATGAAGGTTTTAAATTTCTGTCAGCTCGCCTTTCCGGCTTATTTTACAATTACTTGTCAATAAATTTTGAAACACAAATATATTATTGCTAAAAATAGAACCAAAGTGAATGAAATTTGTGTGCATTAAAGAAGCGAAGCAAGTTTAAAACGTGTTTTGAATATAAATCAGCCGCAGTCACGCAGCCTTTGTCAATAAAATTTCACCGAGACCCTGAATGTTTTATGGGCCAGCTTCAACGGCTTAACGAAATTTACTGAGATAAGAACTTTTTCGCCTTTAAACTCCCATCAATTTGAACTTTGGTCTGGAAAACTTTGCGGGGGCCACATATATAGAAGTGCTCATAAATTCAAGTTGAAACCCCTTCTATTTGCTGCTTCATTTCACCTATCACATGGCTGCGCTCTTACCCACCACCTCCCCCTCAAAAATGTTTTTCCACACAGTTTCCCTTCGCTTTTTTGTGTGTACTTTTTTTTGGTGTTGTTAAAGCAACTATAAATTTACTTTGTCTGCCCTTTTTGCCAGCTTTTGTTTACTCAGTTTATTTTTAGTGGGTGTATACATACACACACATACATATCTAACTCTTTTCCAACTCATTTGCTGACTAGACAAAATTGGAAAATAAATACAAAACTCACTTAAACTTCCCCGCATTTCGCTGTCATATTCAGATTTTAGCCAGGAAATTTTACATTGCATTGTATGCAACAATATCATTTCCAAACATCATGTGTACGACTGTGTGTGACTCAACGGGAAAGTATTTTTTATTCAGTTTTTTTTGTTGGCCACGTTTTGTTAGAGTCTCAAATTGCTTGTCAAACTTGTTGTTCTCATTTCATTGGGATTACATTGTGTTCTGTTTAATTTGACACCTGTTGAAGTGTGAAATCCATTTCGAAGTTACAAAACTCGGCTTACAAAGTTGAATGAATGAAATATGAAAACAAACAACAATTTAGGGTAACTGAACCTTTCAATGAAGTGCTCGTATTTAAATTGAAGTTAAAAGTGTTTATTTAATTATTAAATCAAATCGGGTTTATGTACTGATGGGATATGAGAATGCTTTATTAAGTTGTTATATTTATTTGTATTTCTTATTTAAAACTCATAAAGATTAATTATTAAAATCAATAAGGTCTTGTTTCTGTATAATTAGATGTTTTTCTGATATACCACAAAAGTTGTTTTCTATTAAAGTAATAAACTTGAAACAAATTGTTTTTATTCTATAGCTTTTTTGTGGGCCCATTTAAAAACTGGTTTCCTAACCCCTTTTGCAGATCACTGAACTCAAGAAATTCCCAAAAGAACCCTTGAGTTCTTCACTAAAATCATGTTTTGCAGCTGTCTGATATAAAAAGCAAGAAATATCATAGAACAAAAGATAACTAACGAAAATACATATATAGAAGTAATAAGTTTCCATTCAATATGAGTTGAGGTAATGTCAATTTAATATAAACTATCAAATAAAGTAGTCAAGGTAACGAAGACTCTAAAAAGGTTTCCCATTAAACATCGAATTACTCAATTTATTTATTAAAGCAAATCCATTCTTTTGTCATTCAACAAAAGTCATTGCATTGCCTCCGTTATCATATTGCTTTTCTTTGCCGGGGGCTGCTTTTCCCAAGCAATTTCATAATTTTCCTGATTAGTTTGTTAAGTAGAAAGCAGAACGGAACTGAAGTAACACTAATGACAATAATCAGAACACATGCGAGTGAGCAGCAAATGCAAATGGAATTTGTGTCACTCGTTTAGCGTGATCTAATTTCATATAATGGCGTTTGTTACCTTATAAATTGAATCGAATGGAAATGGGGAAAATTGGAACATGGCTAGGTGTGAAATTTAGGTTAAATTACAACGTTTCATTTGAATAAATATGGGCAATTTCATGGTGAAAAAGTTGAGTATTTTTGCGGTCATTAAAGTCAAATGGGGGTTTGCGATCTGTAAATTTAATTAAAATTTAATAATGGGTACATTAAAAGATACTTAATTTCATTTAGATTTTTATGATTCTATGTATAAACTTTAATTTAAAGGCAATAAGGAATTTGGTTTTTACCTTGTTTTCTTTATTAATAGTCACTATGTGCAATTTGCTTTGTTAAATTTAAAAGAAAAATGCTAATTATAAAAACCACTTTAGCATTGATGACTCAAAAATATTTGCGTTTTGTATTTGTATAAGTGATTTATTAGTCATAAATGTTTATAAGTATACACACTTAGATATACATCTGAAAGTTAAGAGAGAATGACTTGTTTTTATGTTTTCAAAATATGATCTTTGAGTCGCACCATTTTGTAATTCCTAAACTGTAATAGCAATATTACC